TGTGTGTGTGTGTGTGTGTGTGTGTGTGTGTGTGTGTGAGAGAGAGAGAGAGAGAGAGAGAGAGAGAGAGAGAGAGAGAGAGACGGAATTATAACGGTCCTGTATGTATCTCGAAAATCCACACCGCGCAAACATTTCAATCAAAAGTATTTGCTCATGGGCTTTGCCCAAGCGCTCGGCAAACGCCAACATTCTGTGTATAGGGGACAATGACAAGTCCCGATGCATTCAAAATTTTGGCGTTTGGCAAGTGGTGCGGCGAGGCCCTGCGCCCCGTTTATCGCCTATATGCCTCGCTGCACTACTCTCGAAATGTGCAAAACGAGAGTGAATCTTCCGCTAGAATATGGAAAGATGCACGGCCATTATTTTTGTCTTTTGTGCATGTCGAGAGTCGTGCAGCGATCCGCTATGCCGCGAATGGAAGACATGCTCTTTCGAAGCATTTGCTAGAAATAGGGCCTCGCCACACCACTCTCGAAATGTGTGAAAAGACAAAAATGTGGCGGGTGCATCTTGCTATGTTGTGCGACGAAGTTCATTCTCATTTTGCGCATTTCGAGAGTGGTGTGGCGATGCCCATAGGTCACTGAAAAATCGCCTTGGACCGACGGGTGTATCCCTTTTTCTTTTTTTTCTTTTTTAACTAAGCTATATTTTCCTCCCAATTTCACGTGGATCACTATCTACCTACACCTACCTACTCCTAAGCCTATACAGGGGACCCCTGCAAGCATATGCATGTTGCCCCCCCCTCCCTAATCGGCCGTGGTCAGGGAGTAACTAGGGTGGGGCCGCCGGTGGGGGGGGACCACCGGCTACTAGCACAAAGAACTTTTTTTTTTTTTTTTTTTAATTTGGACCATTTCTCGATTTATGCGTGTCATCCTTGATGTCCCGAAGGACAAGAACGAGCATTTTGCCAGTAGCTGCGCCTCCCATCTACTTCACCTACCCGCCCATCGAGTAGCAGCAATGGCTATGGCCAACAGTCTCCCACACACTACGCACAACCCACTCACGCTCACACTCACGGACCTATCTCAGTTGGTACACTGTTAAAATAAAGACTCAAGTTGAACCATTTCTCGATTGACGCGCGTCCTTTTTTTTTTTTTTTTTTTTTTTTTTAAATCTAATTCTTTAAGCCCAACCAATTCAATTACCTGTCAAATCTGGACAGGACGGCCTTTCAGGCCTTTTTTATTGTCATTACAGTATTACGGGGAACCCCGTAGCAGCCACATCCGTGCTCAAGCCTCCAACGAGGGAACATGCGGGAGCTGCACCCACCAGCAGGTGCGATACCTGCTACAGCAGGTGGGCGATGTCATCCTTTCGCAGGGGCCATGCTGATCTTTTTTTTTTTTTTTTTTTTTTTTTTTTTTTTTTTTTTTCAAGTCAATGGTGTGGGCCATGCTAATTTTCAGTCTGTATCGTTCCAATTTTGACCGATGTCCCGAAGGACTACAGACTCAAGTTGCGATCCAGATGCTGAAGTCATTCTGAATAAGGGCATCAGCCACACCACTCTCGAAATTTGCAAAATGGGAATGAACTTCCCAGCTAGAACATGGCCAGATGCCCCCGCCACATTTTTGTCTTTTTCACATTTCGAGAGTGGTGTGGCGAGGCCCTAAGGGCTTCTTTTACTGAAGGCCAAGTGCATGGCCTGTACTACCCTGCCCGTTTAGAGTACTTACATCCCTAACGGTCTGTTGCTATCAGTTTGTGGGGCTCGCCGCACTGCTTACCAAACATATGTAAGTGGAGGATGTATCTTTTCCCAGAACGTGGAAAGATGCACCCGCTGTCGTTTTCTTCCTTTTCGCTCTGAGTGAGTGGCGCGGCGAGGCCCGTAGTGTATAACTCGAGGGGAAAATGACATCCTCGTTTTTTGAAATATTCGGTGGGAAAACAGGTCACTAACGGCATAGTGATGGTAGGACTTTTTTACCCTTTTTTTTTTTTTTTTTTTTGGCAAGAATAGCCCTTGTGTAAGCCCTCTATACCGGCGGCGGTGGTAAGAGAGCCGTCAGGATCGAGGGTCTCTCTGGCGGGCTAAGTCCCACTTACCCAAATTCTTCTGATGGCGGGCTAGGTCCCACTTACCCAAATTCTTCTGACCGTACATTTCGAAGATCAACGGCCAGGAATGAAGAATCAGCGTAAGTGGGACTTGGCCCCGGGTCCAGCGTCCCATTGATACATTCCGTTAACTCGTTTGTTGTTTTACTAAGCTCTGGACGTCATTACGTTCAGATTCATCCTCTTTTTACCGTATTTGCGGTCGGATTCATTTAGGAAAGTATTAGTGTGAGTTATTCAGACGGCACCTGCCTTCGCGGTAAACCAATGGCCGGCATCTGGACTCTGTCCTCTTTTTTTCTTTTTTTTTTTCTGACTGTCCATTTTGAGCGGTCTATGGTTATAATATGTATGATGGACGAGGCCCACCTACCGTAGTGCCACATTTGTGTTATGCGAGCAAGAATCTGGCCAGTTATATGGCCATGTTCACGCTTTCCAACCTCAAACATAGCCCCAGTAGGATCTTGACAGGGCGACCGTTGCGCCATTTGCGCCATGAGAGAACAAATCTGGCTACAGTCTTCACCCGAATAGAACGTCTGGTCATTATAGGTGCATTTGGGCCGAGTTGCGGTCCAGATGCAGTGAGAATGACCGGGCCTTCTATTCGGGTGAAGACGGTAGTTATATGACTAGATTCATGCTTTCCGGTCACAAACATACCCCTGCCCTTAAGTCAATGGGCGAATAAAATACATGCTGCTATTCTGGACATTCCTAGCCTC